TAATGTTTATATGTCTTACGTAGCGTTTACGAACACGAAAACTAATGACCATCCGCTGCGGCAGTAGGTACGTACTAACCTAATAATATTATGAAATATAATAAACATAATAATTAGAACATTCATATATTATTTTCTTTTTAATATAAAATAATAATTAATGCGCGCCATACTATTGCATATAAAAAAAGGTAACTATATTTGCTATTACCTACCTATATTAATATTAATTTCATAATGATATTTTTGTAAGTAAAAACTTACTTTTCTAAAACATTATCATTACAAAAATGCTTTCAAGGACACAATAATAAATATATATTATTTTTTTGGAACTCTAGTGCGAGCACTTTACACGTATACCAACTTTATATTATATTGTCGTAGGTAGACTGATGGTTTCACGTTCCGAGAGTCGAAACGTATAGGTACTTGGCGGCGCCTCGATAATCGTTTGGACGAAGGTATATAATAATATAATATATATAATATGTGAGTTTTCGCCGACCGAACGATATAAAATGACCCGCTTCCGGCGGTTGATTTATCGTCAGAAAATTTCGCCTCTCTCCCCCCGGCGGCGGTGCGACGACGACAACGATAGGTGGTAAATTGGCACCTATACTATACTTTTTATATATTTTTATATATATTATAAATATATATATAATGTTATAAGATACGTATCTGAACGAGTTTCACGTAGTGATTCGATGGCAAATGGTTCGATAGTGTCGTATACAGTATATACATAGATAAGGATATATGCTTTTATACAGAGTGATTCACAACAATTTTTCCCTTAATAAATTTATTCAAATTCTAAATTTAGGAATTTCTAAGTAGATACTAGTATAGGTACCACATATACTGTTATTTAGATTTATATTCCATTTTAGCCTGTGGCTATACAAACTTCTTTTTTCAAATGCGAACCGAAATTTTTTATAGTTAACTGTTAAATAAATTTTTTGTAAATGTTGATTAATATATATTATTGTATCCAAATCAAGGTTTAAACAATGTATTTACTAAGAATAATTATAGTAGTCCTTACAATTGGTTTAAACAGAATAAACAAATTGAAGTAATATTGAATCTAGTATATATTATACTCGGAAAATACTTACAAATAATACAATCTTATAGATATAAATCACTAATATTTTCAAATCATCGTTTCCCAAGGTTAACAATTAACAAGAAAAAAGAGTAAATCGCAGTTTAGAAACGGAGTTGCTACAGGACACTGCTATTAAATTGTTTAAAAGTCTAAGCATTTAAAAATATATTATTAAATTTAAAAATTCCAATTATCTAAATTCAATTAAATCCATTAGAGGAAAAACTGGTGGTGAGCATACTAGGTGAATCACCCTGTATAATATAATATAAGAGACATTTCCGCCCTAAACTGACATGTTTATAACGATATCAAATACATACACAACACTCGAAACATATTTTTTACACGCATAAACTTGTAACGGCTGCCTTCTCACTGTCTCTCTCCCCTCTTTCTCTCTCACTCTCTCTCTCTCTCTCTCTCTCTCTCTCTCTCTCTCTCTCTCTCTCTCTCTCTCTCTCTCTCTCTCTCTCTCTCTCTCTCTCTCTCTCTCTCTCTATATATATATATATTTACAACGTACAACTTGCGGGTACAGTGAGTGAATTTATACGGCTCTAAATATTCCGGAGAGGATCCTCATTACAATAACAAATTGTAAACGCCGAGGCTGTCACATCTGCGGCGGAAAAACCAGACGTGACGGCGACGCGCGAAAACAATACAAAAAAATTCGGGACGATACCCAAACCGCTAACATTAAAACGTTGAATACGTATTCTTTCACCATATCACTATTGGATAATGGCACGATACGATTTTTATTTTTTTGCAGTACACGAGAGCGTGTGCACGGATATTACACCGTACGGGGTAAAAAAAAAATTATTCATCACCGGGCGGTTTTTAAACATTAATTAAAGAATTTAATTTAAATTGTATACCTATATGCACCTGGTTGACCTAAATTCGTTTGTTAATATAGTTTTTAAAAGGGAGTTAAATCACTTTCACAAAAAAATTAAAAAACCATATTTAAATTTACGTCACCGATACAAAAATATTAAAGCACCAATATCGTTATTTTACAATTTAATATAGTAATCACTGGTATAAAAATATCACAAGCAAACTTTTAAACAATGTTGGTATTCATAATATAATAGCATGTTATATCGATCCAATAAACAGCTACACATGTAATACATTTATATCAATGTTAGTTGTTACATACATAATGACATACAAATTAAAGAATACTTAATTTTAAATTTAGAAATTAAAAAATTAAAAAATAGAAACCATCAATCAATGGACACAACTATTATTGCTCTGCAGTAATAACACAAAAGTTTACAAAGATACTGTGGTGATTTAAATATAAAATAATATACCTAATGGTTTGTCTAAATTATATTTTATTAGTGGAGTACTTTTTTTAGATGTGCAATTTTAAATACTTAAATTCTAAAATTTATTTTGAGTGTTATTTAAACAAGTATACATAATGTATATAAATACTATATCTATATAACTATATATATATATATACATTTCATTTAAAAATCAAAAAACATTTATAATATTAAAATAATTACGATTGTATGGTAATATGTATTTACCAAACTGACGCTATAAAAATTAAAGAATTTAATTTTCCCGTTTTCTATTATAACGTTTTTAGAGTCATAATTTATCCTAATAACCTGACCTAACCTGAATAAGTATTATTTTACAAAGGGTTCGCTTCCAACGTACGATAGTTATTTAAATAATTTTATAGGAAACACATTTGTACCTAATTATGTATGTTATTTTCAAAGTTCAGTTATGTCCTGTTACTACTTTACCCTATACAATTCCGAATACATAATGAAACATATGTTAATTTATCTTTTGTGTAGTAAAATATGCGTGAATGTAATTCGTTATAAAATATGTTGAGAAAGTTTAAGGGATTGAAAATTTAAAATACCATAAATGAATAAATGGCATAGTGAAGAAACTTACGGCTTGGATGAAATAAATTTACTAGTCATATTTCTTTTTTACAAGAAAGGAAAATATTAAATAAAAAATGAAAAATCTAATTTATAAAGCCAAAAAACACGAAGTAAAATAAAAAACTGATGTTTCCAGCTACAAATAACGGAATATATTAAAAACAAACAATAATATATGTTATATTATATTAGGTATATTATTAAATAATTTTTAAGATTTACTTATTAATATTTTAATAATATTATCAAAAATTAAAATTAAAGTTGATGGTACAAATATAGAGGAGGTATTAGTAATTAATACATTTTTAATTAATATCAGTACCTATACCTGTTATATATTTTATTGTTTGTTTAATTAATTTTCGTTATATTTTTGTGTAGAGGTAAGTAAAGTGTAGGCGAGTTAATAAATCAAACAATGCAATATATTTCAATAGCGTAATTATCGTGTTTAAAACACCGTAAGCAAAATGGAATTTATTTTGGAAAACAACGGTATGGGTAATATTTGATATTTTACACAAAACACGAGCTTGCCTATAGTTTTAGTCTTAAAAATTAAATGCAAGCTTGTTAGACATTTTTACACGATTTTAATAACTAAATTCTCAATAAATAATTCAACAGGGAATATTGTTCTTTTTGAAAACATTTTCGAATTACGGAAGTACTATATATTATATATAGAATACCAAAACCCCGCAAATGTTGCGTATAAATTGTGTATACAATTTATTTTTTATACATTTCAACATTGTGGTTGTAGCGGTAGAAAAGCATATAGGATTCGAACAAAAAAAGGAATTCGAGATACCTAGGTACTATATATAATATATTATTTTTTATTTCCAAATTAATCGCAAATACCATATTTCCAAACCATTGGGTATCCGTTCGGAAGATAATAGAGAGCAATAAATCACCTCCAAGGTATATAAATCCAGATATTTATTCCATTCGAGTAAAAAAAAAATGATGTTTCCCTATGATAACATATCGGACAAGTTCAATCATAATATTCTACATATTTTCATATAAACACTTACCCGTCGAAGATTTCCTTCTTTTAACATCAGGTCTGGTGACGGGGAACCTCCATACGACGATTGCTGAAACAAATCAAAATAATTTTAATATACATAAAACAAAAATTTGTAAGTACCTAATTACAAAAATATCATAATTCTAAAAACAATATTCATTGTTAATTTAAAAAATAAATGATAAATTGTTTAAATGTTAAAACTATATTGCAGTGCCGTAGAACAAATTATATTACAATTCACACGTATGAAATAATTTTTAATTTACTCATAAAGCAAAATTTTGACAACACATTTGTACGAATATATTATTATAAGCTATGAAAAATTATGCAACAGCTTTAAATCAAATAATATTAATATGTATCATATTAATCATTATACTATATTATTACATAATATTTCCAATTATGTCGAATACGGTTTAAATACTTTAAATATGAATACAATTATACGAATAATTTATTATTTTGTTTGCAGGTCTATTAATAGAATACCTGGTTTTCGACGCATGACAACAACTCGAAACGATAAAATATCATCATTCAAATGTCTTAAATTTCTCTATAAAATAATACTATCATAGGCATAGATACGATTAACCTGTCGATCGATATATTATACTAACTATAACCGATAGAAAATATTTGAGACAAATACACGTTGATTAATTCGTACAATTAAAAAATATTAACTAAGTATAATCATAATTTTTCTAAAATTAAAAAACTTAAATTTTTTATAAAAAATATCTTTTCAAATATTATGTTGTAATAACAATGTATACCTACTTAGGAATTCTATTACATTTTCTATTAATCCGACCTCCAGCAAACACCCATCTGATTACACTTAATCAACGTGATTGTTGAGATAAAATACATTTCAGAGATCCGGGACATTTTTCATCTTTAACACGCCCGTCATATTTATCTCAATACTGCGTATAGCAACCACCGCCATTGGAAGCATTTTCCTATTATTACGTGGCATCAAAAATACATGAACACCACCGCCCTTTCGACGGCGGCATTCGTCATCTAATGTGATTTGATGGAATTTCCACATTGTTTGGCGCAAAACGAGTTTCGCATCAATTCCGTGGCACGAAATTACCAGTGTTTCCCGACCTTCTTTTCCCAAGGGATATCGTTGGTGAAATTCACACATAATATTCAAACAGCATTTCCAAGCGTTAACAGGATGATTTGTAAACGTCGGATGAGCATATTCGAAATTTATAACACTTAAAAAAAATATACAAATAACCATATTCTAGATCTAGGATATAAAATATAGATTATTATATATAGGCATATTTTTGCCTAAACCCCAACTAAAATTATAAATGTTTCAAAAACTATTTTAAGCCAAAATATTATTCTTATCAGATAAAGATGGTTTTAAAATTTATAAACGTACCTACAACCAAAAATAATTACAATACAAAAATCACAAAAAATCATCACAAACTATATTTTGTAATTAAAAATGCATACAATGTTTAATATCCATTCCTATAATATTTGAAAATTAAATACTTGTTTTTCACATTTTTGTAATTTTTTCTCGCTTTAGTGATACGTAAAATGTCACAGGCGAATTTAAGAGTAGTTATACGGGGATTTCTATTGTACATTTTATAGGTAAACTTCACTCAAGTGATAAACGTCAAGTGTTAGGGCATTACTAATCAGTAATCAGCCATCACATATAAGGAGAACAAATAGATTAATGAACATTCATGATGATTTATTAATTAAAGTGAAAACATAATATTAAAACATAGAATAAAAATAAAAATTATATATCATCGAAGATTATGGAAAAACAGATAGTAGAATATTCTAAAAGAGTATAACAAAATTAAGCAAAATTCTAAGCAAAATATTGTTACCAGTTTCAAAATGTTTGAATAAAGCGTTATTACAGTTCGTAAAAATTGGATTTCGGAAGTTTGAAAGATATTGGTGGTCGAATTATACTTTAATATTTGGTTCTTTAAGATAAGTAAAAAAATTCAAGTATATAAAATATGCATAAAAATGTATATACTATACTACTTTATGTAAAATCAATCAAAAATAAAATAGAACTTGAGAAAAACCTCAAAACAATGAATTTATCTTATCAGAAAACGATTTCTTTGTGAAATAGTTGTTCAACTTTGAAATTAATGGATTTAAATACAATCAACTTCAAATAAATTTCAAAACTTTAAAGAAGTTATAAAAATCCTATGGAAAAAAGTAATCTTATATTAAAAACACAGACGTCTGTTATTCAGAATAATAGAAAACGTAGTGTTAAGTTTTTTGTTTCAATATAATAAAATTAGATGAAAAATATACGAACAAAATAGTATATATTATAAGGTTACAGTAACTTTTTATATTTTGTATCGATCGTTTTTCTTCACTGATCCTAGGGCCCTGGCACAAGACATTTTCGTCCATAATTATAGAGATTAGCCATTTAAAAGTAACATAATATATATAACTAACCCATTTTGGAAATTTCAAGTACTAAAAAATATCCTAAAATAACAATAAATTGAATAGGTATCTTTAAAATTATTGTAACTATTCATTATAGTACGTATATTATCAATGAAATTTAATTAAAAAATAAATAAAACTAAACATTTAAAATATATTCTTGCGACGTGAGTAAAATAAGTCAAATAAAAAAAGCTGGTCTTATTATAAATGATTGGTTGTTTGGACCCATTGTCTTGGTGCAAAATAACGTTATACGTAATATTAATATAATAAAAATGTCATAAGAATTATTTACGGAATATTTATTGAGACGAACATCAAGTATACAAGTAGTTTGATTACAACTCTTGTCAAGAATAGAGTTCAGATTGTTCACAATCATATATTTCTCGCTTCAACCTTTCAGTAATTGAACTTTTAAGTTTCTTCCGTCACAAAACTCTTTGTTTGATGTACATATATGTATAGGTATATTTATATTTTTTTGTCTTCTTGACAGTTTTGACATTCAACACAAGATACGAGACACTAAGGTCCCGTCGTAAGTCCAGTATAGTATTCTAACTTTCAAACAAGAACTATACAAATCTATAATTTAAGCTCCCGTGACGTTGAAAAACTACGTAAAACCACCGATCACTTGGTTAAATTTATAGTTATTTAAAATTTAATTTTTCCGAAGATATTTTTCAAACTATTGCAAACAACTAAAAATGATAAGCGAGTATCACTATGATACACTACCAAATGCATTTCTAAGGTATTTTCCGGTATGTGAAAGACAGTTGTTATTAAATTTATGTTTGCATACAATTGCATATAATATTATAATGTTTCTAGTACATAATTAGCTACCTATAATATCATAAATATAATTATGAATAATCTATATCTCTTATACTTAAAGATGAATAATACAGGCATTTTCTTAAAGCTTAAAACAACTTTTTTTAATCATTTTTTTGTCACAAAAAATTAAAAACGTATTTTAGGAACTTGAGTTCAAAATAGTTATGAGATCTTGTAATAAGCAATTTAAAATACAAGAAAAAAAAAAGATTATTTATTAATTCGAAGCTGACCTCAAAAACATTGAAGATAAAATCGAGTGTTATGATCAAGCGAGAACTGAAAAACATTGACCTGAATTTAATTTAATTTACAAACGTGACCTAAAGATTAAAAATGACATCGAGAAACAATCAATTCGAATAAGGTATTTTTTTTCTTTTTCTATCCTTGACGTAAAAAAGAAAAAAACTAAAACATAGTATTAAATTAGTTGTAGGTAAATAATACTAATTTTGATAATAATCACATGCATATTATCGTGTGTTGAAAACGTATTTATGTTATCGAAGTACACATAATATTTCAAATATATGGGGGGACGAGGTGGCCGAGCGGTCTAACGCGTCGACTGCGGCGCTGGCAGTCGCGGGTTCGCCTCTCGACCACCGGGCGGCATTTTTTTCCGGGCAAGTCACGGTGTCCGGAAAACAAGTGCCGCCATCCCCCCATTCCGGGGCATGGCAGAAACCTACGGGTGCCCCAATAAAAATTCTGCCACCACAAACACACGTGTTTACAAACCAACAGTTCCCTCCCCTACAAACTAACAACCAAACAAACAAACAAAAACAGCTAATGGCCATAGTTGCCGGGCTTAATGATCAATGAAAAAAAAAAAAAAAAAATATTTCAAATATATTATAATGTTTACACATACATACCAATAGAATATAATGTAAGGAAAATTTGAAATACGAGTATACCTATTAAGTAGAATATTATTATTATTCGACGACCAACACGACTGCTAGCAAGAGAGCTAGCTCTCTAGCTAGAGAGACATTTAATCAGTACGATAATACTCATTGTTAACCAGAAGTGGAAGCAAGCATAATTAAACCACACATTGTTGTCGTGAAAGATAAATAACATGGTACAATCGCATTCCTGTCAGATACTAGTTGTAAACCTCGCTTGTTGATAATATCAAGAACACGAGACCGATCGGGGGATGGTTTGCAGAATTCACCATTCGGGCCCGGATCGTTGTATATAAAGTGATCAATGACCAATGGCCGACTCCATTACATCACCACCATTTAAAAATTAGACAAAAGGGCAGAAGGGATTATAATTTAATTCATCCTGACTAACTTCAAAATCATGGCATAGAGATAAGAGACAGCTTTCCGATTTACTTTGGTCGTCCCACGAACCAATATACAACTTAGATTACTGTAATATGATGTAAGTTATGCCCCTTTGATCATTTTTAATTAAAAAATATAATTATAATTTTATTTCTTAAATATTAATTTACGAATACCTACTTACATTAAAATTATACAAATATTAAAACATTACAGATCAACAACAGTACCGATATTTATTAACTACTGTTCGTAAATATAAATATTATAGTACAATTTATATTACAATTATACAAATATTAAAACATTACGGATCAACAACAGTACCGATATCTATTAACTGCTGTTAGTTAATATAAAATAAATATTGTAGTACCCCTAATAGACTATTAAGATATTTATGATGGCAAAATTACAATTACATAAACTTACAAATATTAGCTTATAATATATTCATAACATGGATAAAAACTATCGGGGAATCGAAATAATATTTTGCAGTCTCTAAAACAGTATTAAAACCGCATTATCCATAGTAAAAATATTTATTTTATCAACAATAAAATAAGTATTCAGAGTAAATAATACTTCACTCTACCATGTCTGCAAAACAGCATAATAAATATCAATATAGGTTTAGTACATCAATTGACTTACATCTGGATATCAAAATGTTGAAACACATTCGCAATTAACACGTTATGTTTTTTTTTTTTTTTAATAAAAATGGAAGCGTATTATACTTACAAAATTATATATACCTAAATCACTTCTTATATGGACAGACCCAAAATAAAAACCCCGATTGCTTCAAAATACTTCTATCGCCCTTTATATAATATTAACTTTTACCGAGCTGAGCGTAAACTTTTAATTGCCTACGCCCAAATAAGAAAAGTCGCCAAAGAGTTTCCATACAAGAGCAATTTTGTCAAACCTCTAGAGCCAATTCATGAACTTGTGTCACGCGAACGTATACTATTAACGTAAAATGATTTCCGTCTTCTTCGTGCAATCCAATTCTAAATAATATTCTATAACATATACATAAATATACTGTTCGCGTAAAATAACTAAATGTACAAAAGGTGGCGAGAACCCGAAAATAACCTGCACTCAGTGTTTCGAATCTGTTCAAAAAACTATAATATCGACCGGACAAAATAAAACAATAATTTGATCTCCACGAAGACAATAATATTATAATAGAATATAATATCATGTATGAAATGATATTATTATTCGTCCGAATAACGCCACGTCCCGCGACTTTTCTGTACCCTTTGTGTACCTTTTCATGAAAGAATTGCGGGCAAAAACTTTTTTTTTAATAACGCGTGCTAGTGTATACATACTCGCATAATACTGTGTACGCGCATTATATACATACACATATTATATATACGTATGCCGACGGACAACAGACAATGGTTTATACTTTTTTTTTTCTCAGAGTTTTTATTCTTCGGTTCTTATAAATTTGTTTCTTCCGTTACTTCCTATATTG